TCGCGGGGGGGGGCGGTATCATGGATGCGCACTGCTGAGGAGTGCCATACTAGGACAAAACGGCTGTCCAGTGCATCTAGGTTTATCATGCTGGTCTAGCTTCAAATGACTCACGACTTCAACTATTGAAATTACTACAATCTCCATAAAACCTATTCTGATATTTAACATCTAGTAGAGTTCAGGTTTATCAGTAAGGAAACACCTTTTTATCTCACCGATAGTGTTATATCTTATATTGATTCAAGTTAAAATTGCACCATTGAACATTAATCTATATAGATTTGATTATTAACGATGTCGAGGTCTTTTTCACGAATGAGCAATTCCACAATAAAACAAAATCTTTATTCAATATTTCTTGATTTTCGTTGATATTCAAAAACGGGATCATTATATATTGAATACAATCTATAAAGATCAATAAATCATTTATTTAAGTAGTATAATAAATATCAGAATGGGTTTTGTGGAGATCTTAGTACTTTCAGTAGTTGAAATCATGAGTCAGTTGAAACTAGATCGCCATAGAAAATCTGGAAGCACTGGACGGTCGTTTCGTCATAGTATGGCATTCATCAGTAGTGTGCATCCACGATCCCGTCCACCCCAAGAGATTCGATCCCAGGACTTATCACTCTCGCGCGCGAGCGTTTAATCACTAAACCACTGAGCCGGCTGGTATCCAACGGTTTTAGTGTCTAACTTCAACTAATCCACGGGATTTACCGTACAACGAGTGGCTTGAAAAGCTAGACCTCTTCACTCTGTCCTATCGCAGACTTAGGGGAGATCTAATTTTGATGAATAGGATACCAAGAAATGATTTTGGACCTAACATATTCTCTATTTTTCATCCCACTAGACCGGGGCATCTCAGAGGACGTAGTAGGTGAGTAGTAAAACCAAAAACGAACAAAATACCCCTGGCATACAGGTTTTTACTCTGAGTCATTAATACTTGGAACCTGTTACCTGAAGCAGTGGTGTCCGTACCTTCAATTGACTCATTCAAGAGAAGACTGGATACTCATAGAAGCATACTAGAAAAGGAATAACATAGGTCGTTGGCCTTCTGTCCTTACTACACAAATCTGAATCTAAACCAATTTTAATGCAAACTTTGTATTATTGAGTCATAAATTCTAGAAATCACTCCAGGTAGGATCAAACACAATAATTCAGTTATACCTATTGATTATAAGAGTAGTCATCTTAAAAGATTTCTGAGTTAATTTTCTACAAGGAATTATCAATGATTCAGTGATTAGTATTAGTTAAGGAAATCAGAGTATCTAAATCTAGTTTTAATATGAAATTACTCTTTCTCTACTCCGCTCTTCCTTCTTTGTTACATGAATTTTTATACGTTTCTCTATTGCTTTCTGGTGGAGTTTTGTTCTCTGAGCTGGATCGTTTGGTCGTGAAGCTTTCATTGTTCTTCCGAACGACATTATCAGCACAAACTTCAGATAGAAGAATGATGAAAGCTTCACGACCAAACCATCCAGCTTAGAAAACAAAACTCCACCAAAATCATCCACCTGAGCTACAAATCTTCTCCACCATCTCTATTGCTTACTAGAAGTAGAATCTTTGGAAGGAGATAAACTCTCTTCTACATATAGCCATTATATAATAGTATTAGTAAAAACAAAGTAAGAAACTGATTACGTCAACAATGATCAGTGAAAGAAAAATTGTAAACAATAGAAAACTATAATACCAGTCAATCAACATTATTTTGTTTCATTAAACTATCAAGCATAATAACAATATCAATTCCATTTATCAGTGATTATATATAATTTACTAAGTGAATTCTAAAATGTCATAAGTTTCAGTAACCGTATTTACGTAATTTCATAGTGATTAGTTTTCGATTTGATTTAATACCACAATAAATAATTCATTTCACGAATCAATTGAAGCTAGATCACCATGGAATACCTGAAAGCACTGAACGACCGTTTCATTCTAGTATGAGACTCCACAGAAGTGTGCATCCAGTATCCCTCCCTCCGAGATTTGAACCCAAGGATCTATCAGTCTCTTTTATTTTTATATTGGTTTCATTCATTTGAATATTCATTTCATGATAGATATGAAGTAATAAGATAGATTTTAAGTGACATTATTAATATGAGAAAGAGTTGAAGAGGTTGTTTTTTTAATGATCATCTAATTTTGAAGCCAATGATTAAAGAGTCTGTACAAATTTATGTATATCATAGGAACAGGGATAAAAACTTGTTAAATTTTAGTGATGTTTGACAAATCAAATAAGGCTTATTATCATTTTTTTCGATTTTAGTATTGTAGAAATTGTTATAACTTTTCAATTGAATGCTACATATTATATCTGATCGTCGTTGATTGTTATGTCAGAAACTCTTATAATTTATACTCGGAACGAGGGACCTCTGCTGCAATTCTCACGACATGAAAGTAAGAACACAAAGACTGGTATCAGTGAAGATTTATTAGCCCACAAAACATGACGACGACGACGAAAACCCTAATCGAAAATACACTTATCTATGTATTGATTGTACACCCATTTTGATTAATAATTAAGAGGAAATCATATATATGAAAAATACTTATTGTTATAACAAATCATATGCTGAGTATAGTTCATGTTAACTTAATACATGAATATCGTATATTATACAGAATAAAATATCATACGACGGAAACAAAACAAATACTGTAGTGAACAAGACACGAGTGGGGACAATCGAATGTACGTGGCACAAAATTACAGGACTTGTTAATAAAATGTAACAATCATAAAGTAAATGCCTGATTTGCAAAATATCCATCAATTGTCTCAAAATGACCCAGACTTCATTGTTCTTGTATCTTCATACAAATTGCATTATGTTCCCAGTCTTTACTGTTCGATCCTCTTGTCTCTCTGCTACCAGACATTCTGTTCACAACTAACATCATCTACTACTTATGACAATATAAATAGCACACACGACAATACTACACTAGGTAATCGTTACATTGAATCAAAACGGAAGTAATTTTGAAAAAAAAACTCATAATGAGTAAATCAATCGAATTTTGATGTTTCTTTCCGTCATATCAGAAATATTACCGCATAACTTCATTAATATTTAATCTAAACAGTTTCTTCCTGAATTCTTCAATAAAACCTTCATTTATTTATTCTCTGTAGAATTAAGGAGATGAAAATATGGGATGACCAGTGTGACTACCTTCAAGATGGATTTCTGGGATTTCTAACTAGAAGTCATGACCAGTTGAGTTCCACCATGTCTGATTTGAGGCAGTTACGTATTGAAGACAGTAGTAGACGGTCGCTCAATATCGTGAACTGGTGGAAGTTAGACATTAACACCGTTGACTCCTGGTTCAGTGATCTGAAGGTTAAGCGTTCGCACACGAGACCGAAGATCCTGGATTCAAGTCTCACGTGTGGGATCAAGGACGCACACTATTGAGGAGCCCTATAGTACGTCGTCAACATACCGATATGAAAAATTCACACGTAAAAATTGTTATCTGCTTTATTGTTCCTACTTTAGTAGCTCACCTATTATTCAGTGGACTATTAACAATGTGATTTGTTTGTATTTATTTAGAAGAAAAAATAAATAAACGAAACAAAACTCGTTAGTTTATATGTCATGTACAATTTACATAGAAAGAGGGACACATTTGATTCTGTTTAAAAGAATTATGATCACTTTATGAAAATAAACAAAACATTTTCCTCATATTTTTAAACATCCCATAAACATTTTTATTGTGCATTTTATGCAATAAAACACAAAGGTTCTCGTTATATCTAGGCGAAGATTAAATCACGAGTAACTCCTGAGACATTAATTGACTAGTATTATCTATACATTCTTATGGTATAAATATTCAATAATTTTATTTTATTTATTATTTATTTTAACACATAGATATTTGTACAAGGAGGCACTAAATACATATGCGCCACACAAATCTCATTTGTTATGTGTGAGGGCTGGAATACTGCCCGGGTGCCCAAACCGAAGCAGGTGGTTTTCTTAGAGAGCCAGTTCCCGAGCCTTAGACCTGAAGGTTTGATCCACAAGGCAGTGAAACATCGTAAGGAGATGTAGTTCCATGGTAGCTGGTGACCAATAATTGGTTCACACGCCATTTGTTCCGTCCTGATACTGGAGCCCATGTGCACCATTGGTTTGAAATTCGGTTAAGGAGCCGGGCATTCGCTTTTCGTCCCTGGCAGAGACTATATACGCGTGGCCATGTGAGAATATTTCGAGAGGGAGAGCGGAACTCTCCTCACTCTCGACAGTACCAGGGCATTTGGGGGAATTCAATAGTTAGATTATGTATATTTATATTCCTCTCATTATAAGCTTCATTTTGATCTATAATTTATTATTGTACGATTTACTGTTCTTAAATTATGTTCAGTTTATTAACTGCTGCTTCCCACATTCACAGTCATTTTTTGACTTGATTGTGTACAAATGTTATTTCCTACTTTATGGTGAGTTGCGATCTATTTGATTGATATATAAACCGAGTATGTCTTAAATAAGTGATTCATATTGCAGAAGCTGGTATTGGTGTTCTGGAATCAAGTGTACGGGCTAGACGGACATAGGACACTAGACTACTCATATCGGTTGAACGTCATTGGTTTTGTCAGTAATGCAAAGATTGTATAAGTCGCATTTTGCTTGGTGGATAAATCACATTATAAAAGTCGAACATAAAATCATAACGGTCCTGTTGTGTTTTTTTTTATAATTTCGCTTAATTCTGATTGGTTCATTGCGGAATTATACCCCCATAAAAAAACAAAATAAGCCATATTGACTCAAACAATAAATGTATTAACATTTAAATTATTGATTGAATTATTGATTGAATAAAATTAACTTTTTCTTCTCAGTTCAGGATAAATACTGATCTACTTTAATTAAAAACGATACTACTGAATTCTGATTGTATTATATCTTGTGTTAAGGAGCAAATCTATGGGTAATAATATTACAAAAAGAATAAACACAATTTATTGAATACAAATATATGAAAATAATAATTAATCAAATAGGGAATCTAATATAGAATAACAATAATTGATCTGTCAATTGATTTGTTTAAATGGTGAATGTGTTTTGTATTTATTCCGGTCATTTATAGATGGATTCATGTAGGGAATGATTGTCGTTGTCCTAAATCATTTCGAAACTTATTGAAGTATTTAAGTAGTGTGTTATGTTTAGTATTCTCGAGAAAAAATGTTTCTTTTTATTTAGTAGATAATCGTTGCATATTAGAGTGTAATTTTTATTAGAGTACTCAATTCAAGCCATACTCTTCAGATATTTATATTTTCATACTACATGTTGCGATAAGCAACACTGACTTATGTATAAATTAAAAAAAACTTGAAATTACACTCTGATTTTCAGCTTTTATTAGCTGAATGAACAGAAAAATGGTTAAAAGTACTGGATGTAACAGATTACTGGGATACTATGAATGTGAGAGATAAATTCAGCCTTCTATTCATAGTGATTATCAGATAAAAAGTAAATTAGGATTTTATAAAGCTTCACAAAAACTATCAATGAGAAATTTTCATTTTCACTGATACAATCCCTTTGTAAATGTTTCATTATTATTGACGCATTGTTAAATCATTTTCTATAAGCATTAAACCTCTTTGGAAGTCTATTTCAACAATTTGCACTTATCAAAAGGGGTTTGTGGGGATTTTAGAAATGTTCACGGATTGTAATCATGAGTCAGTTGAAGCTAAGCCACCATGGAAAACTTGGAAGCACTGGACGGCCGTTTCGTCCTAGTATGGAACATTAACACCGTTGAATGCTGGCCGGCTCAGTGATCTAATGGTTAAGTGCTCGCTCGTGAAGCCAGTAGGTCCTGGGTTCGAATCCCGCGGGGTGCCGGATCGTAGATGCGCACTGCTGAGGAGTCCCACACTAGGATGAAACTGCCGTCCAGTGCTTCCAGGCTTTCAATGTTGGTCTAGCTTCAACTGATTCATGATTATTAATCTGTGAACATTTGCACTTAACTTATAATTGATATCTATGTAAAATTCTGAATAAAATCATAAACTTGTGATTTAAGGCAACTATAAACAATTCCAAAGTTTGATATTTATAAAATCATTGTCTAGATCGCAAATATATTCAATTCAATAAAAGCTATTGACTAACAAGAAAATGTACATCCTTAACTTATTCCAATAATAGATGTGTTAAATTGTTATTGTTTTTAAAACGGAGTTTGTGTTATGCAGCCAAAATAGGGCAATTGAAAATAGAAATTGGAAATATCATATCGTTCCCTTTAAAAAACAATATAATCTACTTTTTGGTTAAAAGAAATCAAATCTAAACAAGAATTATAGTATGGTAGCTTATATATATATATTTTTGGAAGGTGATCCATCAGTTCTTAGAACTTACAATAGTTTAAGAACTTCAAACAAACATTTAAAACAACAAAAAGGAAAATTCTTCATTGATGTGTAGATCAGAAGATTTATTTGTTTATTATGAAATGAATGTGTAATTCGGAAACTTAAATGAAATAAATTGAAAATAAGACAGTTAAAAAACTTGCCCCCCAAATACTCTCACATGATCACGCGTATATACAGCCACTACAAAGAAAATTCTACTAACCGCCTTCTCGTGGTGTAGTGTTGTTTACGAAATTGAGAGGATGAAAAGTGAATGTCTGGTGCTTTAACTAGATTGGTGGTTATAAAAAATCCACCTAGGGGAGTTGGAAAACCCTCATTCTAAATAAGTAGTGCACATGGGCTCCAGAATCCTGAAGTAACAAATGGCATATGAACCAATTGTTGGTCACCGGCTAACATGGGACTGCATCTCCTAGCGTTGCTCCACTGCCTTGTGGATCAGACCTCTACGTCAAAGACTCCGGGTGTGGCCTCCTAAGGAAACTACCTGCTTCAGTTTGGGCACCCGGGCAGTATTCCAGCCCTCACACAAGTCGAGCCATTTGTGTGGCGCATGTATATTTAATGCCTCCTTGTACCAATGTTTATGTGTTTAATTCAATAAATGTTAGGATATATTTGACTATACTGCTCAAATTAAACTTGTAAATTTAGAAAGAGACAGCATTTGATCAATCATCATCATCATAGTGAATTGATATTTTAATCATATACTCTTTATTTATTATTACAGTTATTATTAGACAATATTCTATTGGTTAAATTAATATTCTATCTATTCTAATGATAGCTTTCCAAGCACAGTTCCCACTCACCTAATAGATAGAGCTTATGTAACCTTATCAAATATATTTAAAATTGTTGAATAATCCATCTCATAAATTTTTGAATCCTTGGTAATTACTGCTTTATTTGCTTTTTTTTATTTTGGATTTATCCTCTGTTGTATCCCGATAAGAATAATGAATGGTATCAGTTTCCTATTGGTCAATACTTATTTCACTTGTCATTTTCCTGTTGGCCAAATATTGTTTTTACTGGTGGTCTAGCTTCAACTGACTCATGATTTCAACCAGTGAAGTTTCTAAAATCTCCACAAAACCCATTCTGATAATAATCGACTGCTCACTAGTGATTGATTTCAGGAAAAACTCCTGAAGTTCTAGTGAGAAGCCGTTACCAGTGGAGTTCAACCAGGTCTGTTGTGAGATAACAACTCACTGAAGACAATGATGTAAGGTGGCGCAACTTCGTGGATTGGTTGAAGTTAGACATTAACACCGTTTGATGCCGGCTCAGTGGTCTGGTGGCTAAGTGCTCGCGCGCGAAGCCAGTGGGTCCTGGGTTCGAGCCCCACGTGGTACGGGATCGTGTATGCGCACTGGTGAAGAGTCCCATACTAGGACGAAACGGCCGTCCAGTGCTTCCAGATTTTCAATGGTGGTCTAGCTTCAACTGACTCATGATTTTAATCTGTGATATTGTACAAATGTTATTTTTTTATTTTATGATACGTTGTGGTCTGTTTGATTGGTATATAAACAGAGTATGTTTGAAATATAATGATTCATATCTCAGAGGTTGAGACTTGCGTTCTGAACTAAACTGAATGGTCTAGATAGGAAAGCAGGACCAATTAGGATTCTAGGTTATTCTCATGTGTTTACGCGTTTTTGGTCCGGTCGATAATTCGTTGCGCTCTAATCTGCAGTCACAGTTATAAACATCCTCAAATGACCTTACACATACATATATAAACTAAAACACTTTTGTGTCATTTTTTTTTAAAAATATGAATTAGATCATGAGCAACTAATGCAAACTTTCAAAATAAAATCAATTCATTTTATTCTCTTTCAAATGTTACTTATGCCTTATTCAAATTCATAAAGGAAACTAAGTCTAAGAAACTTTCAATTATAAAACTTCTTGATATATCACTTATTCCTTTAATGTGGTTATGATAAGATCACTTATGATAAATGTCAAGTTAGCTTTTTGTTCTAGAGTGTAATATTCATGAATGTGCTGAATTCTTTACCGAATTCTTTTGTTTCCTTACTGTGATAACATTCATTTGTGTTATATGAACAAAAGAGAAACTGTATGATTTCCTTATATGCATCTTTATTGAAATCCACTAAATACTCAAAATTCAAATAGTCAAAGTCATATATCTTCAAAATCGATTCATACTATAACTTTTTGTGTTCGTGAATTCTCTAAAATAGATAATCTAATTGGTTAGAGATTCCACCAATATGAATAACGTTATCAACATCTACTTGGGAATTGGGATTTTTTTAATATTCCACAGTTATTAAATCGATTCATTTTGATGACCTTATTTTCAAATGATTGTCTTTGTATGTTTTAATTGATTTCATTTATCAGTCAGTCAGTCAGTCAGTCAATAACAACGTAGAACTTCGTACGTACGTACATCAGTTCAAGTTGCTATACCACATTTGCACAGAGATGCAGTTGTCAACTCAAATTCCGTAGTGGTAGAGGTAGTAAGAGTATAAGCAGTAATCCAAAAGATTGGGGTTTGAAGATGTTATTCAAGGAGTATAATACAGTGAAATAAATTTGGGAAAAACTAAGGGACATGAAGAATTCAGAAGATTAGAATTCGGGAGAGCACAAACAGTGGATGCACTTGCGCCATTGTAAACGATCTTGAGCCATGTCATTCAAGGTCTCTAGCCATCGGTTGTTATCATCTCGAGGTCCTCAAATAGGTAGTTTACGCCTACCAACATGGCTCAGTTCACTTGTCAGTGACTTCATGGACCTGTTCCATTTCATTTATCAGTTATAAGAACAAACTAAATCAATAAATGTGAAGTAACTGAAAATCTCAATTCGGAATGAAATGGATTCTGATCATGTTATCCACATAGAAGGTTAGTCGTTAAAAAGTTTATATCTGAACTTCAAAAACACTTGAGGTTGATGCTAATATCTGTAATCTTGTAATATTATAACTAGTGGTTGTTTTTACAGTGGAAAATATTTTTTGAGATAGAAAAACTGGCGAGACTCTAATTTATGGACGACCTTTGAACGAATCTTAAGTGACCTTGAGAAACATCAGACAATCAGCAAACAGTCAGTATAGATTAAAAATATATTATACAAAACAAAGTGAATACACTTCCTACACATGGTTCAAAAACTTGTCAAAGTTAGAAAGAGGTTCAGAGGTTCTAAAATCGTAATGCATGCAGTAGAGGAAATCATCCATACGGCTACAGAATAGTCGGCCTCTGGAGGCATAATAAAGTCTCAAATACTCTTTCAGCCTCCACCACATAGCCTCAATATTGTTTATGTGCAGTCCGGTTGTTGAGTGCACAAAATGCTACTTGTGGATAACGACACGATGCACATAACTAAGACTATGTAGGAGTCTGTACGCTCTCCAAACATCCGTATATATTGTAGTACCTGGCTGCAGCCAGTGTTACTGGTGCTTTTACTATCCAGTTCACAATAATTGTCAGAATTTACTTAAGTTAGGGATTATATGTAGGGTTTTCATCACGAACTGACATCAGCTATAGTGCAGAAATCTTTAGCCAAATGGATGAAAGACTTCCGCGCCATAAACCGAGATCTATTATCTTATACCTGATTGATTCGTTCACAAACTATAGTCCCGCCGTTTTATCTGTTACAGCCGCTCAATTATCACGTTTGTACAAACTTCCCTGTGAACCGATCGTACGTAAGCATTAAGCAGTGAAGATGGCGCCGTGACCTTGAAATCTCTAAAACGCCTCTGATCGGTTCGTCCATAAATTAGAGTTTCGCCGAAAAACTATCGGTATTCATAAATTTCTGAACAATTATTAACTAACAATGAAAAGAATATTATGAAACTTTATAAATGACAATTTCCACAGTACACCTTTGATTTTATACGTAGAATATAAAAAAATTGATTGATCAGTTCTGTTAAATGTTTAGACTTACGGCCTCCATCACCACCGCCACCACCTCTCCGCCTTCTAACCCTATCTTTTCCTTCCAAATTAAGTGAAATAGAAAATTGATATAATTTATTGTTATATATACACACATATATGTTAGAGATTAAACACTGTCGATACATTTAGTATTCTCTTTGCACAGTTTTCTTAGAATATATGGGAATATCAAGCACAATCATATATATTTGAAGTAATCGTTACTGAACATTCATCGCAGTGAGTATACATTTGTTTTAGATCATTTTAACTGCTTTATGGATTATCTGAAATGCTCAGTATTGTTGTGATATTGTAAGGACCATCTGAAAGTCATACTGAAAGTACTTATATATCTAGTTCTTTTTAGAGTTCACTCTGTAATCACTGTTTAGTTGCAAGTAATAACTTTAAAGACTTATAGCAAAAGTGGTAGAAGGAATAAATGTGATCTCTTCATTGTGTTCGTTCAACAACAAAAAATAATCCCATTATTCAGGTTTATTTTCGACAATAACGGTTAATAAAATATGGCTGACGTTGAGTGAACGTTATGTGCATATTTTAATGTGATTATGTACGAGATTAGTAAACTAGATAACTTCAGATTATCATTAAACTCAGGAAGTCTGTAGAAAAGAATGGGATTTGAAGAGCATGAACTGCATTTCTCAATGGTACATTTTTAAAAGAAGAATAAGTTGATTAACTTCATGTCATACGAACTAATTTGAAGTAGATAAACTGCTCAAATATCCGCTCTTTATTAGTACGAATATTATAGTATTTGATACTGGGCTTTCTATTTGTTACTAATTACAATTCGTTGTATAATTACTGAGTAACTAGACTGCATTGTATATACATCCCGTTATTATAATAAGCTCAGGTTGACACACTAACTACTGTCATATCTACTTGCTGTTCCTAAGTTGTAACCAGTCTAGTAGTCATAGTCTTGCCTATTCACGGTCACTTTTGGTTTGTTTATGTATAATTGTTATTTTTCAATTTATCATGTATTGCGGTCCGGTGTGTCGGTATATAAATCACGTCTGATTGGAATATAAATATATTAGAGTCTGGTTGTTGCTTATGAATTCAAGGCTGAGCATAGAGAAAGACTTAGTTGTCGACTCAAGGTTACTAATGATGGTCGGACGTGTTATTAGCCAAGTCACAGATAGTAAGCTGCAGAGTAAATAATGTGCGCGAAACAAACCTGAGTGTAATCAGTATTCTGGTTGGTGACTTAGAACATAATATTGGTCAGATGGTTTCAAGACATAAAAATTCCTAGCATTATTATTATGTAAGACAGTATTACTAGCAGAATTACTAAATTCATGAATTGAGCTCAATGCTTAAAAAGATTTCAACCAGCAAATAAACTTACCCTCGTTCCCACCAAAAAGCAAGCCGAAAACTAAAGCCAATAAAAGTTTCTTTTATGCTTACCAAATCCAGATGGATTAAAACAATCAATTATATTTGAATTTGCTACAAACGAAGGTTCCTATTAAATTCACGACATTGAAGATTACATCACGAACTAAGATTGACAACTTTCTTTGATATGAACAAAGAATTGATGAGGACAACCAATTCAGAATTCAATGCCAAGTTACAGAATGTTTTCATAAAATGTCAAAATCATACATCAAACACATCATTTGTACATCTTCCTTCAGTTCTCCTTTACATGCTTCATGATTCTTTCAATTCCGTCGTTATTACAATCACTTTCCGTTTTCTTCAATTAAACCTTCCCAATCTTCTTCAGGCATATGTTCTGCTTCCAATTGGTGTTACATACTACTTATATCTGTCAACACAAGCAGCGTACACTACATTAATAGTTTGGATTCATGTATTTGTCAGCAGACTCAAATATCCTTATGTTTTCAGAAACGCTTTCTTGCTGATTTAAAGGTTATAAAACAGATTGTGCACTGAACTTAATTCCTTAGATAACTTGATAGATCGATTTATTATCTCAACTTAGATGTAAACCAAGCCCTTTGGACTCTAAGCCATTAACTACATGGCTACAGTATTTAAACCAGTCGTAGAAAACCAGTTTATAAATATATTTTTCAGACTAATAGAAACATGACTGATTAAAATAAATAAAACATTTCATGTGTACATGAATAATGCTTAGTAGTTGCCGCATCACATTATAAAGTGATAACGCTACTACTGGTTTCTTAATGCTTTATTACCAAACTTTTGTCTGACTCGTTTCAAAGTAACAAATCTCAACAGCAAACGTTTCGGACAGTATCAACGAAATCTTAAGTGATCATTTACTATCAATAAGAACTATCATAAACAGAACCTTTTACCGAATGATCATCATTTCAAATAAGATATAAGAATAAAATCCAGATCATTAATAGATATGTACTTCAGTACTCACGGTTAGATAAATCAACCTCAGGACCCTTGGGACCACGTATTCTTTCAGCTAAATCATATAAAATATGAATGTGCTAACATTTGTAATTTTTGTCAAAGACTAAAGAACATTAGTATTATAAGTGTCTTCTGTTCGGTTGCTTAAAGTGAAGAGGAATAGTTAATTATAATAAGTTTTACTTCTTATAATTCAGTGTTTCACCTAATCGACAATACTATCATTTCCTCTTCTCTGTATGTCTATCATAATTGAAATCAGTAATGTTTTTATAGATTCATTGCAAAATTCATTGTCACTCGTGTTACATTCAAATGAAGTGGTTTGAAATAGAACTAAAAATCTTGTTTTAAGCATTAATTTCATTTATTACCATTTATATAAACTGAATTGATTGATATGTACAACAAAAGTGTAGAACTTTAATTCTTTTATGAACCATAGTAACGTTAGAATGCTTAAGCAGATGATGTTGATATAAGATAACTAAAATATGCATAAGTGAAGCGTTTTTCTTAAATACAACTCAACATTCTGTCAAGATTTACTTCTAAGAAGAATAGATTCCTATCAATGACATAATAAGTCATGCGGTTTCTTCATGTAGTCAGGCTTGAAACATTACTGATATTATCCACTTCTTTGTTCAATAAGTAAATCAATCAGCTTTAATTGTGTGTCACATGTGTAACAATAATGATATAATCCGCTTCTTTTTAAAAATTTCTTTTTATTTTGAAAATGTATTGTGTTTAAATTTCACCAAACTTCCTGTATCTTAGTTAAATTACATTTTCTAAGTTAAAAGAAAATTCCAACTGAATGTTGAATCAACTTTACGTAATGATAATCATAAAACTTCTTTATGTAATGATCAAATAATATTAAACTTACGTTCTTTCCCAATAAAGAGTTTACTGAAAACTGTAGTAAATAAAAGTTTGTTTTATACTTCTACATTCGACTATTTAACGGCTAAAGTCGTGCTTGTGTAGTCCTAATAGAATTCTATTGATTAGGTTGCTAAGTGGCCACTAGTCTAAAAGACTTGGCATCACCTTCGAAATAGTTCATTGTTAACGTCTTACTTAGAACTGCTAAGATGGGTAATGCAGGGTCAAATCCTCCTCAAAATTATAGGTATATATTTATAATAAGTACCAAATGCCTCAAAACTTGGTCCGGGGTTTCCTGTCGACAATCTCGCATGTCAGCATAGTGTATGCGATGTCAAGTTACCACAGTTAGCTCACTAGTGACTTATTTCAATGTTTCTGAAGTTCTGTTGATAAATTGTGATTGATGGAGACATGTCAGAAGTGGAACAGTTGTTATCGATGGGAATGTATGATTGTTTCGCTATAGCTCGGATTGATTGAAGTTAAATTTGTAATACTGGATGTCGACCCAGTGATTCTAATGCTTAAGCATTCGTCTTAATATCTAAAAATTTAGGTTCAGCCTCTAATGAAGTCGTATTTTCTGTGAAAGTTTCACACTAAGACGAAACAGATATTCTTTACCCCTTCATTACCAGTGATGCCTCGAATGAGGTTAAGATATTGTGAATACAAGTTACTAATTAAACTAAGGTCGACGAAACCACTTTGAGTTACCTAAACTTGATCAACGTTCATTCTCTATATACGACATACAGTTATTTCGTATTACATAACGGAACGTTAAGATGAGATGCCTTTACTTTTCATGTTTGAGTCAATTAAGATAAAAATTTATCAGATGATAACTTCTCAGTAAATCCAGAACATAACCAGATCCCAATGGAGGAAGAAATTAGGAAGAAGCGCTGGAAGTGGATAGGACACAGATTGAGGAAAGCACCCAACTGCGTCACAAGACAAGCCCTCACATGGAATCCTCAAGGCCAAAGGAGAAGGGGAAGACAAAAGAACACATTACGCCGGGAAATGGAGATAGACATGAGAAAAATGAACAAGAATTAGATGAAACTAGAAATGAAGGCCCAGGACAAAGTGGGTTGGAGAATGCTGGTCGGCGGCCTGTGCTCCATTTGGAGTAACAGGCGTAAGTAAGTAAGTAAATCCAGAAGATGTGATCCATGGTTCAACGCGTCATATTTAATTCTTTCATGAACCATGGTAACATTAGAATGCTTAAGCAGTTTTTGTCGCTGTAAGATAACTAAAATATGCATAAGTCAAGAGTTTTTCTTAAATACAACTCAATATTCTGTCAAGATTTACTTTTAGGAAGAATATATTCCAGTAGTCATGATTGAATAATCAGTGATATTTCTCTAAATTTCCTGTATCTTAGTTAAATTACATTTTCTAAGTTAAAAGGAAATTTCAACTGAATATTAAATCAACTTTACCAAAATGATCATGATAAAATTTCTTTATTGAAATACTAAACTTACATCCAATCCAATCAAAGATTTTAGTGATAACTGTAATAAACAAAAGTATGTTTTATACTTCTACATTCGATTTGATTTAAATAAATAAAGTAAACTTGAATTTGCAGATAAAATGTATTCTTATTCTATGGACAGTATTTAAAACGAATACAAAGGTGACTGATAGTTTCACTCTACATTCTATAACCTTATGATTGTATTAATATTGTCTATCATTTCGATTTTTTTTAGAACATACTTTAATATAAATCTGTTGATTACATTATCAAATATTGTACTGGACTTATTTGTTTCAGTAATTTAACAGAAGGAATTACAACTTTGCCCTGGTACGGCCGAGAGTGGGGAGAGTCCGCTCTCCCTCTCGAAATACTCTCACACGGCCACGCGTATATAGCCTCTGCCAGGGAAGTTCTACTCACTGCCTTCTCGCACCAAGGGTGTTGTTTACGAAAATGAGAGGACGAAAAGCGAATGTCCGGCGCTTTAACCGGATTCCAAACCAATGGTGCACATGGGCTCCAGTATCTTGATGGAACAAATGGCGAATGAACCAATTGTTGGTCACCGGCTTCCATAGGACTGCATCTCCTTACGATGCTCCACTGCCTTGTGGATCAGACCTTCAGGTCGAAGGCTCGGGGTGTGGCCCCCTAAGAAAACCACCTGCTTCGGTTTGGGCACCCGGGCAGTATTCCAGCCCTCACACATATCAAATGAGATTTGTGTGGCGCATATGTATTTAGTGCCTCTTTGTACCATTATCTATGTGTTGAAATAATAATAATAATAATTAACAAGATGGATACTATATCTACTGGATCCTATGTCATCAACTACTTTTTTTTCATTTTGTAGTCTGCATTACTGACCGACCTTAGTTAGAAACCACTGAAAGCCAGGAAGAGTTGAACAGATATTCTGTCCCACTATGAGACTCTTCAGTAGCACACAAACACAGTCGGGACTGAACACAAAATCTTTAAGTCTCGTAGTGAGCGCCTAAACTTCAAATCACTAAGGTGACATCGAATATTTTGCATATCAAACTTCATTTAATTCGGGATATCACTCAACTATTTTGTACTGCTATTGATGATTGAATGTCTCACGCTTGACATAGTAAAACTCCACTGGTCACGCTTTCTCAACAGAATTCCAGAATTTGATGTTCGGAATCAGTCACTAATGATCACATGATTATAATTAATACAGGGAGTTAGTAAGGAACGTTGGATTTCATAGTTTGCAGCGTGGACTGACCACAATGGGGTTGCGAATATAAGTACAGAATATATGTCTAGTGCTTCTTGCTTTCCAATGATTTTTTAATTAAGGTCAGTCCTTGATGTAAACTAAGACACTCAACAATCTTCACAAATCCCCATACACTCCTCCATTATTTAATTAAAAACAAAGGAATGCTACATACACATACAAGATACACTCTATTACATGTGTAATGAATAGTTCACCACAATCAATAAACTTTTTATATATACAATGATGATAATCCATATTTACCACCTTAATTTACTTTTCATTACCGAGACATATATAATCACTAACTTGTAGCTAACTTTTTGTAATATAAAGAGATAGTATTTTTATAAGTCATTGTTGTTATGATAACTGAGTCCTTTGAAACATGAAATCCCTTGATTTCTATGAATAACGGTTATTCAAATAGAAATTCTAAAAACTCATTTATGTGAATCAAATGTATCTTCTAATTCAGTAGTGTAGAATACATACATGAAGAATATCAAATTTAGCATTATTTCAACTCTTGTAAATATGTAAATTTTGAAGTGAGGAAGCATATCAAGAAAATTTAACTAAGAACTAGTATTAGGAACTTGATGTTTCAAAGTAGCTATGTCTCTTGTTGAACAAAACATATTAACTCTGAAAACTTGAATATGAGTATTTGGTATTCTTTATGCATGGTAGAAAATTTCCCAACTTGAAAGATGTACAAACATTTCTGAAGTTTCTAAGCAGAGATGGATGGTGGGTAGCAGTAGAATCCAAGACACGCGTCTTGTCCTTCTCAGGACTCGTCAGCTGGATGTACCTGCATCCCAGAGTTGGTGTTCACTCCGGGACTCGAGCCCAGTACCGCTCGCTTCAAATGCCCTCGCATTATCCACTTAGCTACTGAGTCCAAATAGTCAGTCAGTCAGCTACAACGTAGGACCAGGCACATATATGCATCGGTCCAGGTTGCCATACCTCACTAGCACAGCAAGATGAACACCGGATTCATAGGACTGGTTAGGTTAAACGTGGTAATATATATGAGAAAGATTGCATATAAGGATACAGTACCGGAGTATAGAATTAGTTCGTAGAAAGAAAGATATGAAGCGATTTTAATCACTTAGTTTAAGGGAAGACAGGCAGTGTATGCACCAACGCCATTGTGATCGATTCTCAGCCATGTCACCAAGAGTCTCCAAACATCGGTTACGAAAGTCACGCGGACCCCAACCAAGTAGTCTGCATCTACCAACATGACTCAGACTAGAGGTTAGTGTCTTCAAGCACTGATGCTACGTTTTGGTTTGCCGCCCCTAATTCTCTTCCAACCATCTCTAACACCCGTTAGCATTGCACGTCGTGGTAATCGGTGTTCAGGCATACGTAACACGTAGCCCAACCATCTCAGTCGATGAAGATTAACAACCTCATCAACTGATTTACCATCATTCCCTAATACCCTGTGTCTAACCTCACTACTACTTACCCGGTGATCCCAACAGACGCCAGCAATATTTCTAAGGCATCTGTGGTTAAATACTAGTAGCTTACGGGTGTCTTCTACTCTTAAAAGCCATGTTTCGCTGCCGTAAAGTAAGACAGAACGGACTGCCGCGCAATATACTCGTTCTTTTATTGATAGACGGATATCTCGCCTTCGCCAATGGTGACGTAAGTTAGCAAAAGCCAAACGAGCTTTTCGAATCCGTGCTGAGATTTCGTTCGATACCAGCCCATTAGGGCTGGTCAGACTTCCAAGATAAGTGAAGTTGTCGACGCGTTCAACCACTTCACTCCCTATCCTTAGTTCAGGTGTTCACGCAGACCAGTCCTGAAGCAACAACTTGCATTTAGAGGGAGAGAAGCGCATTCCAAACATTCTGGCATTGTTGCTTAGTGCTACCAGAAGATTGCATTTTATCAGCGTCTTCATCAAACAGAACTATATCATCTGCGTATTCTAAGTCGATAAGTGGACCTCCTGGATGGAGATCAATACCTGAGAATTCAGTCGACGAGAATGTTATTTCCATCAGTAGGTCTATGATGAAGTTAAACAGAAATGGAGAAAGTGGGCAGCCTTGGCGGACACCACTTGAGGTTGCAAAAGTAGATGACAGTTCGCCATAAGCCCTGGCTCGACTAGTAGTGTTCGAGTAAAGAGCCTTTACAAGGTTTATGTACTTCTGGGGTACACCTTACAATGACAGACACTGCCACAGAATCTGAGTCCAAATAGCCACTAGCTTGTGGCAATATCGAGGCAATCCGCACAGGATGAACGTATAGCAATAGGAGACTGATCAATTACAGTTCTAAACATCAATGGGAAAATTCAAACAACTAATAGAAAAATGGATTAATTCTAAAGTCTTACTCCATTCTGTAAAGTAAGCAAAAGCAATAACAACATCATTTAATGTAATCTGTTTATAATATATCTTAGATATTTCATTACAGCACCAGACATATACAATCCTTTACCGATCGTATGTCACCAATATGATTATAACGATAGAAATTATTCATGCAATTATATTTATATGCAGAGTAGCGAAAATATCAGTGATCGAAGTAAAATAGAACTTCGAAAATCGCTTACCCCGAGTGCCTGAGGAATTTATAATTTCAAAAATAAAATGTAAGTTTTCAGAAGGGGATTTTGTAGAGATTTTATCAATTTAATAGTTGAATTCATGAGTCAATGAAGGCTAGATCACCATGAGAAATCTGGAAGCACTGGACAACCGTTTCGTCCTATTGTGGGACTCCTCAGCAGTACGCATCCACGATCCCGCTAGCGGGATTCGAACCCAGGACCCATCGGTCTCGCAAACGAACGCTTAATCGCAATTTTATGGACTGGTTACAGTTAGACATAAAAACTGATAGATATCGACCGGCTCAGTGGTCTAGAGGCTAAGCGTGTTTTTTTTTAATTTTAGAAACTTAACCGTGATGAACAGTCAACTATTATCAACTTGAAAGTACATTCAAAAAATAAGAATTTCCGCAAAAAACCAGAAAAAATATTTTGGCGAAATTTGAGTAACTCACAGTCAACTGCAAAGTATGAATCAATTTAAAATACGGTATAACATGATATAGAATAAAGTAAACTATAGTGGAATTCTTTCGTGTATCGAACTAAAGTAATACTGTAGTGAACGAAGAATTGGTGAGGATAAACAATTACACAGTTCTTTCATAAACTATCAAAATCATACATTAAATACATCATTTGTACATCTTCCATCAGTTCTCATTTACGTGCTTCATGATTCTTTCAATTCCATCGTTGTTACATCTACTTCCTGTTTCCTGTTCTGTTTTCTTCAACCGAATCTTCTCAATCCTCTTCGGGTATGCATTCCACTTCCGATTGATGTTACATACTACTTATATCTGTCAACAGAAATACCATACACAACTATACTAACAACCATAAATAGATACTTGAGGAAAATGTCATTAATCCATTTACAAATCCTTGAGGACTTATCAGTCTCGTGAGCGAGCGCTTAACCATTAGACCACTGGGCCGGCATCCAACGGTGTTAATGTCTAACTTCAAGTAATCTACGAAATTGCGCCACCGTACACCATTGTCTTCAGTGAGCTGATATCTCACAACAGACCTGTTTGAACTCCACTTGTAATGGCTTCTTACTTGAACTCCAGGAAATGCATCTTTAGGTCAGTCACTAGTGAGCAGATGCTTATTATCAGAAGGGGTTTTTTGGAGATTTTAGTAATTTCAATAGTTGAAATCATGGTGGTCTAGCTTCAACTGACTCATGATTTCAACTAATGACATTACTAAAGTCTCCACAAAACCCCTTCTAATCATATGTAAACTTTGTATATGGGATCAACCCACAGGGAAACAAACTACATAGTACTTTTAAAGAAATCTAAGTAAACAGTACTCACTTAGTTCTGTATAACAACAAAAATTTCAGTATGAGGGTTGTGGAGATTGTTAAGATTTTGGTTGAGATCATGAATCAATTGATGTTAGACCACCGTTGGTGCTTCCAGGTTTCCAACGGTGGTCTAACATCAATTGATTCATGATCTCAAACAAAAATTTCATTAAAATATTCATTTTTATTGTAAAAACAAAACAAAACCAGTTTAGTTGACCTTTTATTTTTAGATATAAATGTTCTTAACAAGTATGTGTTTGATCAGATTGTTCAAATATATCATCATATAGTTCTGATAATCTTTGTCTTCTTATTTACATTATCAAGACAGAACAATTTACTTTTATAAAAGATGTTATATTATCAAGGAAGTAGTATCATTCAAATATATTCGATTCATTTTTTATGCAGAAGTTCCTCACTTCCTTACACAATACTATTAAATATATATCTCAAAAGTAAAATAAAGCATGTTACAATTTTACTGAAACTATAGTGATATTCCTTTAAGTTACATGAATGTATTGTTCTAGAATAATCTCAATGCTAGTTCTATTTTGATATTCGTAAATGAGTGTTTGCATTTTTAATGAATTTTCGCGTATACAGAATTGATTTTGTCGATCAGTAAATATTGTCACTTCATTCTATTTGTGTCCGTAGGTAGGTATGTGCTTTGCACCTCCGAAGTGTAAAGCACTTCTACAAGACTGGCAAGATTTTAATCCCGTACCGACTCTGGATGGTGAGAAGATAGAAGTAGTCGGGAAATTCGTGTATCTAGGTAGCTACATAAGCGCTGCTGGTTGCGTGAGTGATGAGATCAATTTATGTACAGTGAAAGCCAGAACACGCTTATGTCAATCTGGGCCATCTTTGGCGCCTTTGTGACGTCAGTTTGGCTGTAAAAGGTCGGATCTACAACGCGTCGGTCAGAGCATTTCTGCTCTATGCTTGTGAAACCTGGTCTCTCACAGTTGATGATGTTAGATGACTCCCTGTGTTCGATCATCGTTGTCTCCGAACGATTGGTGACATCCAGTGGCAACACCATGTTAGTAATGCAGAGGTTCGGCATAGTGAGTTCGGGCTCAATGACGATAATCCAATTAGTGTCACCATCTTGAAACACTGACTTCGGTGGCCTGGACATGTTCTACGAATGTCGTCCCAGAGAATTTCATGTCGTGCATTATTTGCCGACGCTGTGACTGGTTGGAAAAAGCGGAGAGGTGGTCAGAGTATAACATGGTGTTGTGGTATGAAAGAAAGCTGCAAACAGCTGGCTTCTGTTGGTCCTTCACGACTCCCTGGCTTGGGTTCGAGAGATGGTGCAACACAATGGTTAGAGACGTTATCAGATACGGCTCAGAATAGAAGCCAGTAGCGATCCTGCTGTAACCTTCTTTTACTTTCTTCCTAAGAAGTGGTTGTAAATTCCTTGACTGAAAAAATTATTCTGGTTGTATCTTTCCGATCCCCTCACTATTATTATTATTATTAATATAACACTACCATACACTAATCTGTTCGTTATTGTTCTTTTTTTCTTATAAGCACCCTACATTCTTTTTCTCTTCCCATTCTCATATTTTTGTGTGGTACATATATATCTGGTGCCCCCTTGTACCAATATTTACGTTTTCAAATAAATAAATAATTTTGTCGTTCACTTAAACCTAAGAAGTTACCATTTCATGTTTTCGTTCATTGTTTTGTGAGAATCATAGCTCATATATAATAAAAACAAATATTTATGAAGCACTTACTGTCAATTATACTACAGTTAACTATCATAAAGCGAAGAATTATGTTATTGGAATTTCAAAATTCTTTATTTACAAATCAATGACTTGTTTCATAGAGTTATATCAAAAATGAAAATAATCCGATGGGTTAATCAAGTAATTTACAATGGTAGTTTCAAATCAGTTCAGCATTAGGTAAAGAGTTAATAATAAATATATTTTTTTTAATGGTTGAGATCACGAATCAATTGAAGCTAGACAACCATGAAAAACCTGGAGTTCAACCGGGTCTGTTGTGAGATAGTAACTCACTGAATATATTGATGGATGTGTTGCGCAATTTCGTGGATTGGTTGAAGTTAAACATTAACACTGTTGCATGGCGGCTCAGTGGTCTAGTGGTTAAGCGCGAGAGAGAGACTGATAGGTCCTGGGTTCGAATCTCGCGTGGGAGGCGGAATCGTGGATGCACACTGGTGAAGAGTGCCATACCAGCAAGAAACGGCCGCCCTGTGCTTCCAGGTTTTCCATGGTGGTCTAGCTTCAATTGACTCATGATCTCAACCATTGAAATTACTATAATATCCACAAAACCCTTCAAATATATTTTTGTTGTTTTTATATCCCAATGAGTAGAAAAATTGTATTTCTGACGTTTCATAACTCAATGTAAGCCACTTTTTTATTTTTATTTATTCACTGAAGAAGTGACTTACACTGAGTTACGAAACGTTAGAAAATTCAAAAAACTTAATTTTTCTACTCATTAGGATATTACAAACATATTATTTTTTTATTAATAACAATCTACCCAATGCTCAGTCCACTTGAAATTACCAAATCAAACCTTAGTAATGACACCTATAAACTCAGGAACTGTTATGATATAGCGACTGTGAAAAAAAGTAAATGTATGACATTACCGAACCAACTTAAAGCATACCACTCTATGTGGAATAATTTAGATATTTTTCAATATCTTTTCCCTACGTTAAATTGTTAATTCTTTCTTACATACGAAGAGAGATATCTAAAGGTTAAATTATCGTCAAAGATTGGTTTACAATAGGATTATCATTGTTTCAACTTGTTCAAACGTTATCTTCATTGAACTCAAATGAAAAAATCGAGCACAAAAATGAATGATGATTATGATAATATCATTGAGATTATATTGACATTTTAATATTGGTGTTTTCTCATAAAGTCAGTAGGTTTTGTTCCTAGACAGTTTTTCTGAATCAATCAATTGGATATATTGTTTATAGTTTAAAACGTCCTGGTGTTGCATGAAACACATTAAACGACCTGTTCTCATTGATTTTAACAGTATATGAATGTTCTATCATCTTGATTTTCTTGTATAAACTTCCTGTCATCAACCTGATCTTGAAAATTCCACTTATTTGTAAAACCTATGTGCTACATCTCTAATGTAAGAGTGAAATATCATTTTAATACCGAAAAGACAAGATCCAATAAGTTAGCGAAGACTCGGTATATGATGTTGACTCAGAAGCGTAATATTATAAAGTACCAATATATTTAATACTATGTACACTAATCATAATAATAAAAATATGATCAAACTCAAAAATACTAACATTATTTCTTACCTGTTCCTAAGAGGAAGATCACAAACGAAGCTATAATGAGTACCCTACAGGAAAACATTTCGTATTAGAGATTATGTTGATGACAACAGAATTGATTCACTTATATAGAACAGAAACGCACCAATGAAATTCTTCATGAGTTCTACCAATTATAGCTTACTTAGTTAGTGTATCTTTCACTCCAGTAGATCATTGACTAGCTTACAAAAGTTTACCAATTATCTTAATCTATCATAAACTGACCACGTTATTATTGACTAACTAATTAAACACATTTATCAAACATACACAATAATAAATTCCTTGTTTTGGTTCAGCGTTGAATAATTTAACGATAAGGCATGTTAACTCTATAAGATAGTTCTTAAAGTACAGTATGGCCTCACTAATCTATGAGAACACCTTATTTTTGTGTGAGTAAAGATGTAGGTAAATTTACATGAAAATCAAGAGCAAACAGAATGGACGTAGCAGATGAATTGATTCAACCCAGTATGCCAACCAAGATTGATGAGATTTCAGTCAAAAAATCTACAACCGGATAATCCAAACCATCTTAAATTGAATTAAATTATCAGGTTTTAAAAGCGGATGGAAGTATGTGACTGAAAAAAAAATAATGTTGAGAGCCATATAATGCCAACTATAAAAAAAGGATTGGCTTTAAGATTAAAATTAGATCTCAGACATAAGAAGGGACTGGAAAAATGAACTTGTGATTCCAAATGTGAAATGAGCTGTCGCGCAACTAATTTCCAGAGAGTGAGGTCACAAGAATATTACAAGACTAGAAATAGCTTACTCCTGAGTACATAAATTAAGTTCAGATGTTTTGGTAGCGATGCTTTGAGTAAAACGCAATGTCTTATGTCGTCTGCTTATTGATAGTTTTGAATGATTTTATAAAATCAATATCCACCACTAAGCAGATAATAGGAAACCGTACTGTTGAAATAAAATGAATAAACCCACATTATCGTGCTACTTTCGTCCTTGTTGTTCTATTCAAATCTATCAATGGGAAAAATTGTTTAATATTTTGTTCTTCATAAATACGATAAAGTTGACAGTATAAGTTTTCGTTAACCACTTCAAGTCTATTAACACAACTGTGTTTCTTATCAGGAACAAATGGAAATTGTGATTAATTTAAACTGATTATTCAGTCTCAAAGAACGGTCCTTGAGAAATATCTCAGCACCATTTTTTCTCTCAGTAGACTTTTATGTTTATTTAGGCGGAACTATGATTTACAGGCGAACCAATCAGATTTAAGAGGGTGTCTCTTAGATTTTTGAATGAAATTCACTAACGCATATGGCTAAACAGCATTTTAGCATTATCACAGATACAAGTTTCTGATGAAAACCATAAACATAACTCAAGACCCTAGTTCCTAAAACTAATTTATGGCCCTATTGTGACCCTAATTAGTGGTCGAAGTCTCTCAGGGCTGCTTTATTATACACTGAAAACCACTCATAAATTATCGCCTAAACAAATTCCACCTGTAGCTCTTCTAGAGTTACTACCGGTCCTAAGCCCGGGTAAATGAGGAGGGTTGGGAATGGAGTCGGCAACCCGATCCCGTAGAAAAGACCATGCTGAAAAACCAGCAGCCAGATTAAACCATTTAAACTCTGCCCTTCGAGTTGAAGGAAGAATTATAACGCCATGTGATGAAAACCGAGATTCTTCGGAAGTCACGAGGCCAATGCCCCTTCTAACAACCAGAGCAACAATTAATATAGGTACATGGAATGTCCGGACAACGTGGGAGACCGGAAGGACTAGTCAAATAGCAACGGAAATGAGGAGATAAAACTTGGCAGTTCTCGAAATCGGCGAAACCCATTGAAACAAAGCTGGACAGAAAAAAGTAGATTCAGGAGAGATCCTACTTTATTTACGACGAAGAAAATGCTCTGCACACACAGAGTTGTTCAGACGCTGTCCAAAGACGCACGAAACGTACTTATTAAATGGAAATCTCATGAACGCAGGATCATCAAATCATCCTTCAAAACAAAGATGGGAATCACGATGAATGTTATCCAATGTTATGCACTCACCAATGACGATAATAAAGACCAATCCTATGAGAGGCTGCAATCAATCATAGCGAAGTACCCAGGAAAACCTGACCATCCTGATGGGGGACCTAAACACCAAAGTCAGGATGGACGACACTGGATATGAAAATATCATGGGATGGCATGGACTGGGAGCAAGAAACGAAAATGGTGCGTTTCGCAAATCTATGTACATTCAACAAAATGGTTATAGGTAGCACAATATTCCCACACAAACGCATACACAAAGCTACATGGATTTCACCGGACAACACCACGGAGTTCCAGATAGATAATATTTATGTCAGTAAAACATTCAGAAGGGCAAAGGAAGACGTGAGAACCAGGACAGGAGCTGAAATAGCTTCAGACCACCACCTGGTGATTGCCAAGATGAAACTGAAGCTAAAGAAGCACTGGACAACTGGGGAAACACCATCACAAAGGTTCAATAGAGCCTTCCTTCGAGATACTGGCAAACTCAACGAATTCAGGACACCTCTCAACAACAGGTTACAGGCCTTACAAAATCTACTCAAAAAAGAAGAAACTATTATGGAGGACAACTGAAAAGGGATCGAAGAGTCACTAACTCAAAGTGTCAGGAGGTTCTGGGCAGCAAAAAGCACCATCATAAGAGACGGATCTCCATCAAAATCCTGAACAAGATTAAAGAAAGAAAGGATAAGACAGCTATTAACAACAGTTGAATAAGAACAGAGAAAGTCAAGGTACAAGCTGAATACACTGAAGCAATAAAGCAAGTGAAAAGAAGCATTAGACCTAACAAGCAGAAATATGTCGAAGACCTAGCAACGACAGTGTGAAAAGGTGTAAGAGAAGGAAATATGAGACAACTATACGACATAGGGAAGAAACTAGCGGTGAGATATAGTAAACCAGAGAGACCGGTTAAGTACAAGAGCAAGCCAATCACTGAAATTCAAGGACAGAGGGGATCTTGAATGGACCAGCTCCATTGAATCCACCGGACACGGAAGCACGCCTACAGATCCCCCTATAGGTGTCACTGCACCAACGGTCGAAAAAGTCAGGATGACCATCAGATAAATCAAGAGAGGGAAAGCAACAGGACCTGACAATTTACCAGCTGAAGCACTGAAGTCAGACATATAATTAAATGAAGACATGCTCCACGTTCTATCCAGGAAGATTTGGGAGGAACAAATGCCTACAGATTGGAAGAAGGACACCTCATCAAGGTACCAAAGAAAGATCTGAGTAAATGAAAGAACTAGAGAGGAATCACACTATTGTCCGTACTAGGAAAAGTTTTCAACAGAGCGTTGGTAAACCGGATGAAAGACTCTACATACGCCCAACCTCCAGATAATCAGGTTAGATTCCGTAAAGACCAAATCGCAACATTACGCATCGTTTTTGAGAAATCAATGGAGTACGACTCGTCACCATACATCAACGTCCTTGATTGTGAGGAAGAGTTTGACAGTGTGGATAGCAGAATATTATAGAAACTTCCTCAATACCATAGTGTACCTGAGATCGTCAATATTATACGGAATTCATACGACGAACTACAGTGCAAAGGCGTGCATGAATGACAGCTGAAAAATACATTCCGAGTACAGACCGTAGTCAGACAAAGCTGTTTACTCTCCATTTCTTTTTATTCTAGTGGTTGACTGGATTATGAAGACCTCGACATCGGAGGGGAAACAAGGAATACAATGGACAGCTCAGAATCAACTAGAATATATGAACTTCATAGATGATCTGACCTTTCTATCCCACACACGAATGAACGCAGATGAAGACAGTCAATGGAGCAGAAACCTTTGCATCAGTAGTACTCAACATACACAAAAGAAAAACCAATATCCTCAAACACAACACAGAGAACACCAACCCAACCACACTCGATAGAGAAGCTCTAGAAGATGTCAAATCTTTCACATGCCTGGACAGCATCATCAATGAACGAGGAGGATCCAATGCAGACGTAAAGGCGACGATCGGCAAAGCAAGAACAGCATTCTTACAGTTGAAGAACATATGGAACTCAAAACAACTGTCAACTAACATCAAAGACACAATCTTCAATACAAACGTCAAGACAGTTTTACTTTATGGAGCTGAAACTTGGAAAACTACTACAACCATGATCAAAAAGGTACAAGTGTTTATAAACAATTGTCTACGCAAAATACCTAATGTCCGTTGACCTGATACCATCAGTAATAGTTTACTGTGTTAGAGAACAAATTAGCTTCCGGTTGAAGAGATTAGGAAGTTGGGAGTAGATAGAACATACATTATGGAAATCATATAACTGAATCACGAAGCAAGCGCAACTTGGAATCTTGAAAGTAAATGGAAAACAGGAAGGCCAAAGGACAAATTGAGACGGGAATCGAAAGCAGACACAAGGATCAATAGCAACCGAGAGAAATTACCCAAGACAGAGTCGGATGCTGAATGCTAGTGAGAGACCTATGCTCTTCCGTGAGAGGTAACAGGCGCAAGTTGACTGAGTGAACAAAACTCAAGCAATTCATAGTTAACTACTACACCTTAGTGTTACGCATTTGCCCATATCGTTAATGTCATTCCTTTAAAAAATATACAGCTCAATATCTTTTCATTTTTATTTATGATTGATTATCCATGATAAGCTCTGTAACACATACTATGAAACGAAACTATAATCTTCAGGTGAGTTTCGTCATCTTAGTCCCTCATCAGAGGCACCATTCACTAGGATATATTTAAGGAAACCACTAGGGTATAACTTCCGGACCATTTAAGCAAATTTCCTAATCTAATTTTTTTGTCACAGTGAAATGAAACTAAAAAGCATACCTCGACACATTTGTATAAATTGTCAATAGGCTGTTCTGCATAATTTTTGCTCTGGCTATTCGCATCTGAGTAAAGCTTATCCATTTGCTTACTGTTGAAGCGTAACAACACACTTCACAATTTTACATCAATGAAGTGCTCAAAAAGCGAACGATAACAAAAGAGTAACTAGTTTACTAATCACAGCCTTACGTACTCAGATTTGAACAAAACTTTTGATATGAGAGCTCACCACACTACCCGGCTACAAACAATGAAGTGATGAGCTCGTGGATTCCTAAGAGTTAAGTTATTTGATCACAAACCCAATATTCCCCATACACAATGGTGTGACTAAGTGTCAAGTATATAAACCCATATATGGTACACTACTATTCCCATCGAAGCCTTTAAGTCGCGGATATCCTACCTCTCTATTATATTATAAGTTCAATAAATTAGATACGAATCATTGGAAAAAATCGGCACTAACTAAGACTAAATGTCATAATCTTAAACTATTTAATATGAATGCCGCACTTGAAAGTCCACCATCGGAACTGTTTTATAATACTTAGTTTCTCTATTTGAAAGTTGTATGGTAATGAAGGACTGAAAGTTCCTAAAATTGATTTTAGTGACATTTCCGTTGGGTCAGTCTTTGAAATTTCCAAGTAATTTAAAATCAGGACTCTACTAAGGTTTTTGCTTTGCTAACAACAAAGAGGAATACTACGCGTTGTACAGTTAACAAACTTAATTATCTGTTTGCCATATATTCAAATTTACTCATGATACCTTTAAAAAACTGTTTACCCAGACTTATGTTGATCAGAGTTTCACCGACTATTGGCTATTCATATATGATATTTATTAGATGAAAAACATCAATGAATGGTTGTACAGATTTTACTGCATTTTGGTTTGTTCTGTAGTCAGTTTTTAAAAACTATTAAGTGGAAATCTTGCTAAGATCGGTAAAATTAAGTACTGTGAAATAAGCGACGCTGGACTCAAGGGGAATGATGTTACTAAAAGCGATTTGTTTTAATATTTTCGCATTTTATTAAATTCTGTAACATTCCGAGGGTTTACAACAGTTTTCCTGATAGAGGTACACATATTTGTGACAATTAAACACTGTAATATCGAATCACCTGTACACCACTCCACTTTAATCGGACCATTTACACTTTGATTATCTAAATATCCCAAATATCCTACGACAAACTTCAACAAGTGAAACAAAACACTTATGAACAAATATATACATTCAATCTGACAGACGTCGTTCATCAGTATTCGGGACTCGTCAGAAAAATGAAATCATTGCTTACCGGTAGATCACGCTTAAACACCATAAGATACAGCATAAAAGATATCAGGTCTTTGGCTGTCACATGTCTTAACAGTTACCGGACAAATTTTCCAGCTAAGGTTTTGGACAGTTAACACTACTCAGCAAATGATAACGATTAGCATTACAGTCGGTTGATATGTAGATTATTCAACTACCTATCCGTAACAGATTCATCAAGAAAAATCTTAACCAACGGTTTACTTTCTCACAAATTTACCCTTCTGTTTTATCTGAACAAAGCGAGTATGATATTGCATATAAATAAGTTATTATTCAAACCGTCTTTAGAAAATCAGTAAAATCTAGTGATAAGGCTAGCATAATTCAGCTCGACAGAATGTCAGAAAAATATCTCAGCCCTTTTTTACAGGGAACAATATGTAACGCAAAAATAACTAAACAGGTAGACCTTTAGAAATCCCTTTTACTGTCCACAAACTACCACGTAAGAAAGCGTTCAAGCCAATTTTACCTCCAGGTATAGTGGCAATAATTTGCCATACAACTAAACAAATTTGGGAGATCAAGGCCAAAGCTGAAAATACGGCACTCTGCCACACAACCACAGCATATAAGCCACCAAGTAAGCTGACTAAATAACTTAAAGTAAAAAACAGGCGCTCAGCGCTAAATAAGCTTCTAATGTGGTTCCATGGACCCCAAAGAAATGAAAAACTCCCAATTAATAAAATACTACCAAGTGTATGCAACAGTACGTATTTACGCATACCAAAAGGCGTTGCAATAACTGGCAAGAAAAGCATCGCCAAACAAAGACATAACGATGCTGAAAGAAGACATAAGAAAAAACCCATAAGACGCTGCTGTCGAGACATGCCTTTAAGCATTAAAGGATCAGCATCAGCTTGATAAAACCAAGATGTAAGACGACCTTGTGCCTCAATTTCAGTGGGAGTTATAGATTCTTTATTGGAGTTCTGTGATCCATCTGTATTATTTGACTTTAAAAAACTGAGTAATGGTCCAGGTAACAAAGCAGAATCCTCTGAAGAATTTTGTGGATTTGCTATTTTGGAATACAACGCAGAGTAAATACGATTGGACATTTGACATGAAATCACCTTAGGTTAGATCCGGAAACGTAAATTACTACAAGTATAGTAAAATACAATTAGAAAAAGGATAATAATAATAATAATAATAATAATAATAATAATAATAATAATAATAATAATAATAATAATATAAAAGTAACTTTCAATAGTAATTAGAATCAAAACAATAACTGCATAATTTTTCCTTTCAGGTTTATCCTTCAAGAACAGCTCTAACGTAAAAAGCATTTATATAGAAAAACTAAAGCGAACACTGGAATAGCAAATTATCATAACCAACCCCTTAACATGTGGGATATTTGCTATAGATCCATCGAATCAAAAATGCCACTTGCTATTTTGATTTTATTTCTCATCTGAACCCTTCAACATTGTTGCTGGCTAGAAATATATTGTTTTATACGCTACAAAATCATGATTGTTAACTGTTACGCATCGCATGAAACAAATGACCGAGCAATTAGGAAAATCAACCATATTCATAAATAAGCAAATTAAAAGATGAATATGTTAAAATTATATTTGAAATAATCTCAGCGATTGAAGTTTAAGTAATTCCAACGTTTCGTCCAGCTAACTCGTCTGGATTATTTTTAAATATAATTTTCACATATAATGAATTCACTATTATCGGTGCCCAATTTCTGTCAAACTATTCGTTCTAATCTTGATGAATATTCGTATAAAAGGTAAATAATTCATCTCAGTGTCGAAATTTAGGGGGACTGAGTAACAACTACTTTAGGAAATTAATCAATCCCAAGGATATGCATGCCACACAAAAAGTGACTGAATAGTTGGGATTGATAATCTGGTTTTAGTTTGACAGATAACTTTGATAGGTCAGTAGCTTAAAACTTTCATATCTAGGCAGTAAGTCTCCGGCCAACCATGTCAAACAAAAAAGCAGACATCTTGGAGAATTTCTCGTTTATACACACCAAACTCTCCCAAGGAATGTCTCTATTTTCCCTTTCAGTTCACCTATGAGTAATTAATAATACATGTGTTAATTCAAAGAGTCAAATCTTTGAATCGCCCTCAATGTAAATATTTTTGGTCACACAAATTTCTTCAAACTCACACTAGACTTCCGACTTGCATCGAGTAAGTTGAGGCCAACTAGATGTAGCAAGTAAACGCTGATATACACGAGTATTCCGTTTGAGCTAATAGGCTTTCTTCATATATGTACGTAAACCTCGCACTAACTTTTTAATCACTGTTGAAGACAACTATTGTTAAGATGTTTACACTACACTATCCTCCCGATATAAACACTACTGACAACCGTTCATGTCAAAATCATTAATAAATTGTTGTCATTTAAACCACTGCTTTGATAATTGTCGAGTGCGCATATAATCCGGTTGACCTGGAGAATTAAATGCAGACTTTCTAAATGTACAGTATACTGTACAGTTACACTTCGCGCAAAATCAACTACTCCAATTGTTTATACTGCCGTAAAGTACACAATATTATGTGAACTTTTGAGAAAAGTATACATCCTGAAGCAGGTGAAACTTTTAATTCCGAGATATTTCACCTCAATGGGGAAATTAAGGATTAAATACTCACCATTTATCCATGGATGAGGAAAAACGAAGACACTTAGACGTATTTTCTTTATATTAACAGAGTTCTCTTAAAAATTTTACCATGTTCCACAAAAGTTCCCATTTTTCGCTTGGGAATGTCTCTCCTAACGGTCCGTCCTTACCTCGACTTACATAGATACAGGTTTATGTATGTACGTTCGTTTATGAAGACATAAGGAATACTATTTTAATACACATTACGACAGTTGCACTAAAACCAGCCAACAACCTTGGATAACTCCAGAAATGACCTTGACTTCAAATGGTTCGAATGGTTGTGGACGGAATAGAAGAAGCCTTCGCTTAACAGGCTTCTGTGTCTCGTAGCAGGGGTTCATGAATAACTCCAGGCAAGATCCTAGGCATGTTAACAACAAAAGAGGAAAAAGAAATTGGTAAATCATAGTGTGATACTATCCTTAGTCCTTAAGAATAGATCACTTATTTACTTACGCCTGTTACTCCCAATGGAGCATAGGCCGCCGACCAGCATTCTCCAACCCACTCTGTCCTGGGACTCCTTTTCTAATTCCATCCAATTCTCGTTCATCTTTTTCATGTCTATTTCCATTTCTCGGCGTAATGTGTTCTTTGGTCTTCCTTTTTTCCTTTGGCCTTGAGGATTCCATGCGAGGGCTTGTCTTGTGATGCAGTTGGGTGCTTTCCTCAATGTGTGTCCTATCTACTTCCAGCGCTTCTTCCTGATTTCTTCCTCCGCTGGGATCTGGTTTGTTCTCTCCCACAGTACGTTGTTGCTAATAGTGTCCGGCCAACGGATCTGAAGTATTTTGCTTAGACAACTGTTAATAAACACCTGTATCTTCTGGATGATGGCTTTCGTAGTTCTCCAGGTTTCCGCCCCATACAGTAGAACTGTCTTGACATTTGTATTGAAAACCTTGACCTTAGTGTTGGTTGACAGTTGCTTTGAGTTCCAGATGTTCCTCAGTTGTAAATATGCTGCTCTTGCTTTGCCGATCGGCGCCTTCATATCTGCATCAGATCCACCCTGTTCATCAATGATGCTGCCCAAATATGGAAAGGTTTTTACATCCTCCAAATCTCTGTCAATCGTGATTGGATCGTTGCATGCTGTGATGTATCGGAGAACCTTGCTCTTGCCTTTGTGTATATTGAGACCTACTGCTGCTGAGGCTGCTGCTACACTGTTCGTCTTCTCCTGCATTTGTTGTTGCGTTTGGGATAGAAGGGCCAGATCATCTGCAAAGTCCGGATCGTCCAACTGCATCCTAGATGTCCATTGTATCCCGTGCTTCCCTTCAGATGTTGACGTCTTCATGACAGGTGATCCAGTCGATCACCAGGAGAGAGAGAAAGAGTGAGAGTAAGCGACCTTGCCTAACACCGATCTTCACTTCGAACGACTTTTTCAACTGTCCTCCATGCATGGTTTTGCAGTGTAATCCATCATATGAACTCTGTATGATATTGACTATCTTCTGAGGCACGCCGTAGTGTCGAAGAAGTTTCCATAGTGTTGTTCTGTCCACGCTATCAAACTCCGCCTGGAGTCCCTCCGGGGGCTACTGCCGGTCTGTGACATGTCGCAGATGGACTACTTTAAACTTTGAAGTGTCGAAGGTAAGTCCGTGATCGTCTGCCCAACTTCGAAGTCGAACAAGATTCTCCTGAAGTGCTTGTATGTCGTTTTGGTTGTGTATCTCTCTCCAAAGTTTCACGTCGTCGGCAAAAAGTAATAAGTCTGACGTTACTTGTTGAGAAAGATCAGTTATGTAGTTCAAGAAGAGAAGAGATCCTAGTACTAAGTCCTGGGGAACCCCACTAGGACATTCCATAGCCTGAAATAAAGTGAAATTAACTTTGACCTGAAAATGACTTTTCAGGTATGAAGTGAGCCAATCGGTTAGAGGTGGTCTGATACCCAATCGTTTATGCTTATCGACAAGACATATATGATTAACATTATCAAAAGCTTTTGAGAAATCTAGGTAGATGATATCAACCTTCACCTTGCGATCGAGGATGCTTGTCCATCTGTCCACCGCAGTCATTAGGTTGGTTATACAAGAGTAGCCCTTCCTGTTGCGGTGAGAAGAAATTTAAAGACAGTAAATAGTCATTTATACCATCGCATATCAGGGACTCCATGAGTTTTGAAGGTAATAACAGAAGATCCACCGGCCGATAACTTGAAGGTTCATTGCTTCATCCTTATTTGAAAATTGGTGTGATGTGAGCCAACTTCCAATTTTCCGGTAGTTTGCCGCGGCTTAGCGTATGGGAAAACATCACGCTAAGCGGCGTTGCCAGGATCGAGGCTACTCCCCTTAGTATGGCAGAATGAACCATATCCGGAGAAGTGTCTAGTCTTAAGTGCTTCAATTTCCGGAACACCAAGTCAGCGTTTAGGTTCACTTCGGAAAGTCCTGTGGAGTTGCAAACGAAACTGTCATCAGCAAAGTTAATGTCGATCGGTTGAAATGTCTGGGAGTAATGTTCAGCCAGAAAGTTAGCGCCGTCGCCACCGTTGTTGGTCGGGCCGTTAAGACCTACCAGTTGGGAAACTCCAGTTTTGGCTTGACTAAGAGAGGCTGCATAACGGAATAAGCTTTTAGGATTAGAGGCAAATTTGTCCATAAGCTTTGTCTGATACTGAAACCTATCTTCTCTTATAGCCTTCGTGCATATGTTCCTGATATGTTTATATTGCCTATACGCTCCGTCGTTATTAGTTCGTTTGTATTCCGCCCATCAGTGTTTTTTGCGGCTTAGTAGGCGAAGGGTACGGTTCTTGATTACTCTGGGTGGCTTGCAGCTTTTGAGAACCATTTGAGGAACTGAATGGTTTGTAGCACGTAAGAGCGTGTGCAGAAGTCCCAATGCCCGTCCGCATCGAGTTGAGGGTGAACATCCCAAAGCACCTGTTGTAGATAGTCATGTAGAGCTGGCACATTCAGCCGTTTAAAATTCCAACGCAAATTATTGTTGAGATACCTTAGCTTAGTTTTGGTGACAAAACTGAAGGCTATGACGGCATGATCGCTCTTTCCCAGAGGAGCCAGGATTGAGAGGTTGTCAACTAGGAATTCTTCGTTTGTGAATACACAGTCTAAGCGCTATGGTGTCTGACTGTTTCTCCAACGAGTTGCCGACCTCACACTTTCATATAAGCTCAAGTCATCGATGAGGTTGAAGAACCGAGCTTCAATTGCGTTGTCGCCTCCAGTATATGTGTGTTCCACGAAGTTGACTCTAGGGAGATTAAAGTCCCCTGGAATCAGGATATGAGTGAAACCGAGACGAGTAGAGCGGGATAGTCTGTAGTGGCATTGGACCATAACCACACTATCCTCAAAGCTGAATACGAGATTACTCGGAAAATAGGTATTCAATATTTAACGCGAAGAA